CGTGCGCCTCGTCTGCGTGTTTGTTTCAGAGTCGGGTGCGCGGCGTCTGCTTCTGCATGTGTGCGTGGGTCTGCGCGCGGGCGTGCAGGAATTTGGGGCGGCGCGGACCCCCCGGGGCGGGGGGCGGGGGGCGGGGCGGGGCGGCTCCCTCGGACGCCGAGGATTTGGCCTTTACCTGCAGGGGGCGGAGGAAAGCGAGAACTGGAAGGCGAGGGGCAGGCGCGGGCGCCGAGGAGCCTGGAGCCTAAGCCCCGACCTTGGAGCCCAGAGTCAGACCCAGAGCCTCCGCCCGGACGTCCGAGCTCGCGCCCCTCATGGGGGCGTCGGGGGGCCACGGCAGGCTGGCCGCGGTCTGGGCCCTGGCGCTCCTGGGGGGCCTGGCGCGCGTCGCGGGCACGCACTACCGCTCCCTCTGGAGGAACTGCTACCCGTGCCACCTGGGCCAGGCTGGCCACCCCGTGAGCACCGCGCAGCAGCGGCCAGGTGGGCGCGGGGACGGGGCGGGGCGCGGGCCGGCGGCCAGCTGGTCTCTCCTTTGTTTCCTCTTTTCAAAGTTTACGCCAGGCGGCTGACAGGGAGCGGGACAGGCAGTGTCTGGCAGGGGGCCCCTTCTCTGGGATGCAGGAACTTGAAGTCCTGTCCCCTCTATCCCTAGGGCTGTGGACCTTGGCCCAAGGGAAGGAAAACGTGCCTTGCTGTGCCTGGGGTGTGGTGTGGGGTCTCCACCTCCTCACCAGCTACTCTGGGGCTGGAGAGGGTCTCCAGGGTGTCAGGCTGCGGGTGTGGCAGGTGCCTTCTGCCTGCCCCTCCCTGGCCTCTGTCTTGGCCTGGGGCCCAGACAGCGTGAGAAGTAGGGTCCAGCCTGTCTGGGGCCTTCCTGTCTCCCTGCCTGGGGAATCAGTGCTCCCTCCACGTGGCTCCTCAGAGCTGGGCACCCAGGAATGGGAGGGGTGTGTGCGCCCTGTGCATTCTTAGTACCCCACAGCACGCAGGGGACGGGCTCACGGGTCCCCGGAGCCAGCCTCCTGTCATCCCCCAGGATGCCTGAGCGCTGAGCAGATGCTGCCTGCCTCCCCTGCTGGGCCCTCGGCACCCGGCTGGGCTCCACATCGCCCCGCACCCCAGCCTCCTGCTTGATGGCTCAGCCTAGGCCTGGGGGGCATGTCATTCGCAAGGGGCACCAATTGCCAAGGGCTGCGCAATCCGAAGTTCTGTGGGCGCCCGGGAGTTTTTAGCTTGCAGTTGTGGTGGGAGGCTGTGGGGAGTGGTGCAGGCTCCGGGGGGTGAGAGCCAGGGCATGTGTGGGGCAGAGCTGGACTCTAGCTTGGTGGCACTGTGGACTCTGACAAGCTGGTTGGCAGGGCCCCAGGGGAGCTCCCTGTTTCCAGACGGGTGGGGAAGTGGACTCCGGGTGGTTTCCGCTGAGACAGGCAGTTGGCAGTGGCCCAGTGCTGCATGTGCCCAGGCTGTGTGCACTGCTGGCCTGGGAACTGCAGGACTTGGGCTGGTGGAGGCATTGTGGTGGGCTCCCCGTGGCACCTCCAGCCCCAGTTTAGAGAGCGCCTGTGGGTCTCACCTGGCTTCTGGGGGAACAGCCTGGGCTGACACAGCAGTGTGCCAGCGTGCGTTCTGGTCCTGTCCCGAGCAAGGGACAGGATATCCCTGTGCTGTCCCAGCTGGGCTCTGTGACCTCCCCAGCAGGTGGCCCCTCCCTGGGCTGCTCCTGAGGCGCATAGGGCAGGTGGTGTCATCCTGGGCCAGGCTGTTGTCCCTGGGGTGAGCAGGTTCCATCTGACTCTTGCGGTCAGCATGGGCGTGGGAGTGACTTCTATGCTCCTTCTGTCCTCATTGGGTCCCTGCCCCAGGCCCTCATCCCTGCACGAGGTTCCTCTTGCTGGGGTGTAGGGTCCAAGTGGCCCTGCTTATTGAGGTCCCAGTGGTGGAGCCTCCACAGGACTCAGCAGGACTCCACCCACCTGTACCCCAGAGTGCAGGTAGTGTAGCACCATCCTGGGGTGCTTCTGGAGGGCCAGGGGCAGCTCCTTAACGGGACACAGTGGTCTCACTGCTAGGCCTAGGAGCCAGGCTGGCCAGAGCCGACCTTCGGAGAGATGTGAGCCCCCAGCCTTGACTGACTGCCGCCAGAAGTCATCTGAGGTGATGGCACAGCTACCTGCCGCCTCCAGCCTGTCAGGGGCTGGTCCCCAGAGCCCAGGGACGCTTGGCCGCCCTGCTGGAGCTCAGGGGTGAGGTTCAGGGCCTCCCACTGACGCCTGGATTGTGCAAAACTGCCTGGCTCTTCGCAGTGCCCACTGCACGTCCTGGCTATGTCCTTGCCTTTGTGGGATCTGGGTCCTCTTCGAGACCCCTGGTTAGTGCTGCCTGCCGCCTTCCTGGGGGCTGGTCGCTGTGGGCCCACCAGCCCTTTGCATTCAAGCTGGGTTCTGCCAGTCACCTTGCCTCAACTCAGAGGATCTTCACTCGACGTCCCCACCTTCTCATTCCTTCACACAGTAACCTCAGGGCTCGGCAATCCTGGGTGTCCCTTCAGAGTGGATGTGGCCCTAGGCGCAGACGGGCCTGCACTCGTTCTGTGTCTGCCACAGTGGCAGACACCACGTAGTAGGAGCACCATCCCTGTACTCAGGAGGTGCGGGCACCACGTAGTAGGAGCACCATCCC